CAGACTAATTGAAAAGGACAGGGTATTTAGACTGCGGTCAGTGATCCCTGAAATTCCATCTGGGTGAGAAAAACATGTGGTATTAAATGGTATTAATCAACCAAAAATAGTTAAATTCAAATTTTCATATGCATTCAAAGTAATAACTGAAATACTTGAAGCCAGCACCTCATTTAAACCACAAATGCTTCAGGTCAAGCAAGATACTGCACACTTACTGGAAATTTTGATTAACAAAAGCATTTTTGTTAACTAAAGCAAGATGGTCACTAATGAGATGCAAGTYATATCAACCCTCATTAGATAAAATGGTTGATGGTCACACACAAAAATGGTTTGTGTTGCCCAGGCTGTTTTGTCTGTGCATTTATCACACGGGTTTTCACTGAAGATCCTGAGGGCAATTTAAAAACCTGTCATATCTGCTGTATGTGACAGATTATATTCCTATAATGTAAAGAGCATAATGCTGGCTATTGTGAAAAGACAGAATTAGCTTAAAAAGCTCTCTCTGATGCTACCAGTCTTGAACAGCATCTTCATGCTGAAGTTTTTACTTTAAAGCTGCTAACATTTCATCAAGAGCTCTGTTACCTGCTTCTGTAAGGCAGGAATGTTGCATTTTCAAAGCCATTTTAAAAATTCCACTCAGTTCTGGTTTATGAATTCTACTTATGTTCATACTTYTGCCTTCTAGAAGCAAAATGACATGAAGTTTGCGCTCTGGTTATTAACTCAGTGGTAACATCTTCTACGTAAACAYCACACCTATCTACCAGGAAGATCCTGACATGCTTGCATGCTTTCCACGCCCCCAGAAAAGCTGTTTCCAACTTTTCAGCCATTAAATATATTCGCTTTAAATTAGTGTAACTGATTTGTATAGTGCAATACTAAAAGAAATACAGAATTGTCCTGAAACGTAAGTGTTCAAAACCAAACACAACACACTCACATAGCTGCAAGCCATCGCAAACACTTTTCACTTCAGTGCAAAGTCGGACTGTTCAAAGCTACAGTAAGAAAATTGTACAATTWACCAAAAATAACTGACAACGTTCCATAAAGCTAAAGAACATTATTTAATTCTGATGGCACTTTTACAGAATAACAAACTTTTGCAGTACATATATGCAGTASAGAAACAAACTTCAAAGGCACAGAGCCCAGGGGATGTATGGATATAAGCTTCCARGGAGCATTTTTATAACTTTTTCCCAATGTTTTTCTCTAAGCTGCAGAGATTTTTGCCTTAGTTTACCACAAATGTGTTTGTCTCCAGAGCCTCCTTCAAGACTAAATCTACACAATTCATGARCATCCAGAGCAAGAGGGCTCCATGAGCCTCCTTTGCCCAGCTTTCTCTTTCCTACGAGCATTTTGGCATGATCTAAGGCAGCAATCTTCAGCAGCAGTCACAAAAGCCCTTGCAAACACATGTGCTGTCCTACATGGGTATCTTGGCCCAATGGTGGTGGGGATTTTTACTTACTCAGCCCATAATCTTCTTTTCACACAGAATCACTGAATGATTAAGGTTGGAAGGGACCTCTAGAGATCATCTAGTCCAATCCTCCCTGCTCTCCTTGCTATTGTCACTATGATCATAATACTGTCCTAAAATTTGCTTGAAATATAAGCCCTCCTCATTTTTAGCTTGGTCASTTTTAAGAGTCCACCCTTACGGTCTTGATTCTCGTTCGCTGTGTTGCACTGACTCGACTCTGCTATATTTAAAAGCTTGGCATTACACAGGCTTGCCATTTAGGGCAGAGGGGTAGAAACAATTAAACACACTCAATATTTTTAAAAGTCTTATTAAAATATCAAATAATCAAGTTCACATTCATGCTTCATTCACATGATCAGTTACAGGAATCCCTTTTTATAATGGACTTTTGCATTTGACATTTAATTCCATATTACCCTATAGACTGATCTTTATTAGTCTGTGCACTCAGCACGGGTGTCATGTATATAAAAAGAAGCACAGGAGCTATTAATGTCTGATGACATCAGAAGCAATCCTCTGTCTGGCTTATGGATTTAACTGGCTATAAATAAACTGTGCAAGTAACTTGTACAAAATGGTATATTGCTATAAAAAGAATACTGGCTGTAGAGTACAACTGAGTAAAGAGAAAACTGTTTAATGAATGGGAGGTTACCCTGCTAAGGACTGCCTTCTTGTTTTGCTGGAAATGGTCAGCTCTGAAACATTATGCAAGAAATTCTGCTACTTGCTCACTGCAAAACCAAGTCATTCTCAGTTCATCAGCTTCCTCTTTTGCTTTGAGCCTAGATAAGCTGCTGGAGGCCAATGTGAGATGGTTCCCCAAACACTGTGAATGCAACTTGTACTGTATTTTTAGAACCTGCAGAGCACCAGTTCACCGTGACTTTATAGGTGTATGAGTCTGGACCTCCCCTGAGCCTCACACTTTCAAGAATAACATGCTTTCTTGGTCTAGCTTTAGTTTGCTTACTGACTCACCTCAAAAAAGTTTTAAAACCCAGATGTCATGATAATTACATGCAGAAATCAAACATCAAATACCTAATTTTATATTTAAAAAACCCCACACCTCTTCAGTCCTTTGTAATAGTGAAATTCTGAGAAATTCTTAATTTTGCTGCCGASACCCACACTCAAGACAGGTAAATACCCTTGGCTGCAGCACAAGCTGCAGGTGCTCAGTTTCTCCAAAATATTGGACCTCCACTGGTKAGATCAGTGCAGAAATATGCAGGCTTATCCTAAGCACATGCCCATGGCTGTGAGAATCCACCAGGGTTCTCAGAAAACACCCTGCTTTGCAATTTCTTTTGTGATTTCCTAGTCAATAAGAATACATACCGCATACTCGTGTGCTCCTTGCATTTGTTACCATCTGTGGTAGCCCAGTGACTAACCCTCCATGTACAGGACCACATTTTCTCAGGTGACTAATAGACTTAACTCCAATGAAAACAAACCTGTAGAATTAGTTGCTCCGTTGTTCCATGGTTCCTGGGGACTAATACAAAAGTCTGCCTGAAGCCTGATTCGCATTGAGTTTTATGCCAAAGTCTTAAACCACACAAGAAAAGAAAGAGAATACATATTTAAATCACCATGAGATCCCTGGAATGGGATCACAGAATTTGYTCATGTAGCTTAATTCTTTTGAGGTAATAATTTCAGAACTAATAAAATATTTGTTCTTTCTTTGTTATAGCAATAGGAATGAAATGTCATGTACCAGGACACAGGAKGATTGCAACAGGAGGCAGAAAGGATTTTTTCTTCCTTCTGATTTTTTATATTTCAGAATTGCAGAGAAGAATTTGGGAAAAATTCCACACTCCTTTGAAGCATCAGGTGTAGATTGGAACAAGATAGTGACTTGATGAATTAAAGGTCAGACCCGTTATGACAAATTCTATGTTCCTGTGTAAAAGCACAAAACCCCAAGCAGTCACTTGTGTGGCTGGTACTTAAGGCTTGCCCTACAGATGAGGTTCAAAGAGAAAGCTGGTGTCAGTTCTCTCAAAGTGAAATGTTGATTTGGGATGATGAAGGCAGAAATCAGCTTTTATAAGGGGAACAAAAGTGTTTAAAATGTTAAAGAAAAACTTCTCAGGTCCTCAAATTTTCTCTTTAGAATGTGATAACTTCCAACAGTAAGTGATAAAGGACCAGATTTTTGTGTCTGCATTCACAAGAACTACTAGCCTGGTGTGAAGTCCATTGAAAGTGATACCGAATAGCTGGGTAATCTCAAGTGAGGCTGAAATAGTTCAAGCCTGCAAATATCAGTGACACACTTTCAAAATATTTTAAGGTCCAAATTACAAATTTTTGTGATGTTATTTTCTTAAATAAYAGAATGAATTTAACAAGAACTGTTACTGCTTTGTTAAAGCACACATGTGATAGCATGCCTTCATAAACAAACATAAGTAATGTCCTATGTATTGATAAAATAATGGTTATTTGTGACTGCTCTGTGATTTCTGCCTTGTAGTTAGAAAATTCAGATGATCATGAGAAGATACTTAAAATGATTCTGTGTGAGATTCACACTTCCTGAGATTAGTGCTGTTTCCTAGAAGTGTAAATAAGCACCATTTAATGAAATGATTTTCAAGTAACAGTGAATCTCAGCATCTGTAATGCTTACAATCTTCATTATACTAAACATCCTATCAAGACAAACTGCATCATTTGATACTGGGGCAAATTCAAGATGCAATCTCTCTATTTACACCTGCAGCATTACTGCATGGGTTCCTCAGAGCTCTGTAAACTTTGTCAAATCAATATCATCCTGTATTACATGCACCTTACACTTTTTTATCAAAAGGGTTGAATTAGTTTTTAAAATTATAAATAAGCCTCCTATCATTATAAAAACACACTAAGCAAAAACAACATATAACCCTTCATGTGGAGCGACAAACAACTGCCATTCACATTATTGAGAGATCTGAGGTACTCATGGAAGAGAAGGCACCACTGAAGATGACTGATCCGGATGTACGGAATCACAGACACATATCCGGTTAACCTAAAGCCCTATTGAAAGAAAATACACATTTCAGTAAAACTATTTATTTTTTTCTGACTCTGTAAATTGACTTAGCTTCAAGCTAGGCACACTCCCATACTGTTTAAAAARGCACAATTTCACCCTCGCCATCTCTTTAGCTTTCTCTGTGGATTTTGAAAAGCATGGAGCTGGGCAACATGCATCTTAGCTGGCTCTCTGGTGGGATACAGAGGAAGTTTTACTTGCTATGGAACTGACCATGGCCAGTGAGGTGAGAGATCATGTGGCAGTGGTTTGAGCAGGGTGAAAACTCTCTTCCAAGTCAGMTATCTCATGCCTTTTCCATACAGAGGAAAGGGCCACTCATTTTAAAAGACAAAACTTGGACAAGCGTGTTAGAGGCAAAGACCTGCAGCACGTTACTTCGTCTTTGCTCAGTCTCCCAAGGGCTTAATGGGAAACCATGAGTCACTGAACTGAGTATGGCCACTTACTTGGGCTTCCRCTCCTTAGTGGTGAAGAACTGCGGCTTCGAGACAACTGCAAGATGAAAAGAAATGGGAACTCAGTTCCACYGAGCAACTGCACCCGAGAAAGGAATCAGGGACACATCAACATTTAAACATGTTACTGAGTCAGTGAAACTCATTATTAATGTCAAATTCAACAAGTATTTTTTGCATCTTTTACACCCCATGAAAAAAAAAAAAACCAAAAAAACCCTTTCCCAAAGCATCCCACATTGTCTATAACATTCACATTTTAAATTGAGAATATTTATTTCAACTTACTAATATGGATAAATAATCAAAAAATATGATTTTTGCTGAGATAATTAAAAATATCATGTAGCTACATGCCGAACTCTGCTGAGGTTTCACATCATCTCATTTGTACCACTTTAGTTCTTCCTGTCCTGCCCACCCCACACTGATTTCCTGTTCTTTGGGGGCAGTGGAGAATAAACTTAGGTTACTAATTCTAGGAGGCAGGGACCATGTGCTATTTATACACACTATAAGATGCCTAAAACACTTCCAGATGGTTCCATTCGCTATTTAAGAGTACTGAAGCTAGGGGGAATAGAAAGCTACGTAGAAAGACAGAGGGGACTTCAAATGGGAAAGTATTTTGAGGTCCACAATTAATTGATACTTCTGTGAGTTGTGAGATCATCTGCTTCTTATACAGTTTCTCCAGTGACCATTACAAAATAACCATCTGTCAGGTCAGCCTCACCACATGCCAAACAAAGCCACCGTGCATTGCCCATACGTGCATGTAGCACTCCACATTTTTAAAAGGTTGCCTGCATTCCGAGTGTACAATCCTAGATGCTGTTTACACTACAGGCCTGCAGCTGGGGCTTACACAGCGAGAGCGAAGTGGACTCGTGCTACGGCTGCGGCTTCTGCTTCTGCTTCTGCTCCCGTCAGACCACTACGAGAGAAGAGATCAGCAAACCTCTTTTGAGAGGGACTACTTATTAAAGACAAATTCTGCAAAGAGCCTTGCTGTGCTGGATTCAAGGCTTGAGGACACAAACTGTTGATTTCCTGCCTTAAAAAAGGTGTTGCCAACAATCATGCATCTTTACTGCAAATGAAGTAAAACTTCAGAATAGGGATCTAAAATYTGGTATTTGATATACGTAACTCCAACCAGACAGGAAGCAATCAAGAATGAAGCATATTAATTTGCAAATAAAGAGTTTAAATCTGAGGACTCCCCCAATGTGTTCCTTAACAGAAGTACGTACCAGAACTCCTCTCTTGGTAACTGCCTCTCCCTTCACGATTACAGTATCGTTCTCGATCAGAGCAGGCCACACATGATAGGCCACCAAGGGAGCTGTGAAGTCGGAGTCAAAGCTACGACGGTACCTGTTCAAAGACAGAGCATATGACATGCCACAAGTGAGTGCCAAAAGATAAACATGATGCTTCAGGTCACCAAAGCTGGCAAACGCAGAATRTAAGTTACAGCTCCTATATATTTTTCTTGACAATATTTCCATACCACTATGATAAGGTTTGAGGAGGTCAAAACACACGTGAGGATCCTAACATCAGGCACCAACTCCCAGATCTCYRTAAATATTGGACTTCTAGCAAATGGGCCAGAATGGAATAACAAAGATGAAGGCATTTTATAAACACTGGACGCAAAGAGAACAAGCAGGCAAAGGAAAAATTATGTTATTTTACCTCTTAAAGGATAAATTAAATATGCAGAAGAAGCTGGCTTATTCAGAAAATTGCTCCCCTGATGATTTAAATAAAAATAAATAAATAAATAAATAAATAAATAAATAAATAACACACTGCCGGATTACATCCTGGCAATTTACTACCAGACTCTAAAGACATACTGAATTCATTATAGACCAGGAATATTTGCCCTAAAATAATGTTTATCATCAATCTTAAACCTCTACAGCAATTATGGAAGAACTTAGACAACTTAAGGGATTTTTTTCATCTCTAACGTTTGTAATAAAACATTATAGAAAAAAGTTCTTACTTGGTCTCATTGAAAAGTTCTCCATCTATACCAAAAGCGATATCAAGAGGAGGAATCAGTGTCTGCATTGAAAATGCCACACGGCACAGCTCTCGAATCAAGCTGCTGATCACAATGAAATCAGTTTCTGGTGGGAAGGAAATCTTTGGGTTCATGTTCATGGAACGAATTACTTCCTGAAAATAAACACAGCAAGTGAGAAATTTGAGCTCACTAATGCTTTTACTCATACTCAGTACTGACATTCCTCCCAGTGATGCCTCTCTGCTTTCAATATTTAAAAATCATTATAATAAAAGGCCCCCAGAAACATTGTATTTAGGCTATTTCGGAAAATCTTAGCTCTTCAAAGAGTGTGGTGTTTTGTTCAGAAATAAGGCATCTGCAATGTCACTGTCATCATTCCTAGGAGGGGAATGCAATTTTTCAGTAGAGTACAAAGTTTAAGAAAAACAACACAATTTACCATAATCCTACTTGCTTAACTATAGGCTTAAATATGGACAGCATCATGTCATAGCATTATCCTAGCAGAGAYGGGCAATAATGTCATAGCAAACAGTGCCCCAAACAAATGATAACTGGGCTGTACTGYAAAAATATTTTGGAAAACAAAGTGCCACAGGGACAAAATCCATGTGATACTTCTCRCTTCAAGTCACAGTGAATTTCTAGTTCACGCACTCTGAATTCCCTAGAGGTTGAATCTAATCATTTAAATATCACTCCCCCAGSACCCTTGACTTACATTGACACTGGCTTGAACATCATACAGGTCCTCATGGCGAACGATATAATCCAGGACAGTGTCTTCAAGTGACTCAGGCCCTGAGTGACCCAGAGACAAGGTTTTTCTCACGCGCATTTTGAAATGCCTGTAGGCCATCTTTGCTGCATGAAAAGACTCCTGCAATTGTACAGAATATTTAGTTAAGTCCAGAAGACTGTCAGATTGGGTTTCTATCAATCACGATATATAATMGAATGTCCCAGTTGTAAGGACTGCTGTAGAACAAAGTTTAAGACAGAGAGGACTTCTCAGATTAAGCCAAATGTAATTTATTTTCAGCAGACAGAACTAAAATGCTTCCCATCTAACCTATTGTTCTGTAAGATACCATCTCACGTGCAGAGAAGCAAGAGAACTACATTCAAAGGATATCATGGAAATTATCTGCTTGGGAGAACCTGCATTAAGAGACATGCCTCTCTGCTGACTCTGTGAGTACGTGTGAAGTATCTAGGCATTTTATGATACCCCAGCAAACTGGAAAATATCTACAGTTAAGTGTGAAGCATGACATGGAAAGACTTTTACCTTTCTAAAATATAATCTTTCCAGAAGTATTCCTGGAAATGAAACAGTGTTGTCTACAGCAAGAATCATTTGTCCTTCAACAGCATTCAAAATCTTCCGACATGCCCGCCTGTACTGTAGATTACCCACCCTGTACTGACACAGTACTTGGACAAAAGGCTATCATGCTTCAGAAAAAAAMTGAGAAAACGACATTAAGCTGCGAGTTCAGCTGAAGTTTCATACCACGGCAGCAATGTATATTATTCTCTGCACCATCTCCATGTCGCTGACGTACGTCCTCAGCAGGGTCTCTGCATCCAGGCGCTCCTGAGCATAGATGTCCCCGAAGCGAGCCACCAGGTAGGCGTGCCGCGAGGCGTTGGTGAGCCTGGCCCGGCCTGGGGAGCAGCTCCGCAGGGGCAGCGGGCTGGGCGAGCGGCTCCCACTGCGCCTCGGCGAAGGAGAGCGGCTCCGGGCGAGTCTAGGGAGACGTGCAGAGAAGCAGAAAGTCACTTCCCTGCCCTCAGATGCCTCAGCCTTTTGCACAGAGAGTTGTGCTGACTTTATTATTCGAGTTAGCTGAGATTTTGAGCCACTATAATCAAAGAAAAATTGCAGCCACAAGAGCGGTTGGCTTGGTATGAAGGTCATACTACGTGTGTACATAAGAATGTAACGACATTCTACGCACTTAATTTTGAAGAATAAAATTAAAATAATTCTGTGTGTGTGTGCAGCCAAGCATCCCATTTCAGTGAAGTGTACTTTTAACTACTGAAGTTTTTTGTTCCTTCTTCAGTACCAATGCAGAGCTGTCAAGTCAAACAAATCAGAATGCAGATGTAATGGTGCAGTGTTCAAAGGGAGCTTTCAAGCTAAAAACTACCCATCTGTTTTTATGCAGTATTGTTGCTCTCTGTGTATTTTGTAAAGCTGCTCCCTTTGCTGTTTTGCCAGAAACACTCATAACAGCCTAAYATGGTGACATTAACACATTTGGGCACTCTGTTGAAGAGTTTAGTTTCCTTGATAACAAAGTGCAAAAGCTTAGTTCTGTTTACACTTCAGCTTCAACTGAGGAAGGAATTCAGGCTGCCTAACTTCAGTTATTTCTCTGATTTAGTAATTTCAGTGACTTCTCTGAAGAACACCCCTACCTGCTTTGCAGAACAGATTTTTGTGCATCCAAGATAGAAATCTCATCCTTCAGTATTTGAATCTGCTGCTCATAGTCATGCAGACGATCTAAATTCCTCAGTGCAGTCTCYTCCTGCTCATGGGAAGCCTTGAGACTTAAACACATAGAATAAAGTTAGCTACAAGATGCCTTTCTGTCAATGCAAGCTACCTATCTAGTTAATCTTTATCATCAAACAAAAGAACAGAGGAAATACTGAGCTCGTCAGGCTCCTTAATGCTGAAATGTAGAGAACTCAAGAGCTAAACTCCAAAGCACATTCTCAATTACACCTTAAAATATAGAAGTGCACTGTGGCAGAAGGCTGGATACATTAAACCTCGTCTCAAATCACAGAAGACTAGTTCCTTCCAAAACCACCATCTTTGGTGGTTTTGCACTAGCTCAGGTGATATGGGTCTAAGAAAGAGACTGGATTCTCATATTGAACATTACCTACAGTTTTAAGCTGCAGAATAGAAAACCGAGCTGTTTTATTTATTTTCTTATTTCAGATCCTCAGGTTCTTCTCTCTGATGGCATGTTTTGGTGAGTTAGAGGATATCATTAATGATGTTTCTCAAGTAATGTCAGTCTTAGGACTTTTCCCTTCTTCTCAATAGAAGAGCAGTCTGTCTCAATCGGCAGACAACCAGGGAAGCACGTTTATCTTCCATCCTTTACTCCTACTTCATGCTTACAGGAAGTACTCCAACATTTCGGCTTTCCTCTCTAACACAGATATTACTGTTGTTTTCTTTCTAATAAAATACTGATATTTTCTTCTCATTGTGGAAATATTCAGTCTGTCCTTCCCTTTCTTTCTTGAAAGGCCTTGGGGAGGCTGGTGAGGATTTGAACCAGTGACAGCCGTAACAGCTGTAATTTAACTAACTTCCTGTTCTGGCTGAGGAGCAGGAAGGAGAAGACCCCAGGAGAAAAGGCCAGTACATCTGCCAAAGGGAAGGATGGACTTTCTCACTGAGGTACCAAAAGCAGCCGACAGGTTTACAATCSCATGGCCATCCTTCAGCAATAACTTCTAGCACACAACTAGGGGGCAAGAGTATGCTAATGTACTGAATAATTTGGAAAGAAAAGGAGATTCTAGAAGATGATTTCTAGAGAAAGAGATTGAGGGATATCACTATGCACCACAGGGAAAGGATAAAAAATGCTACACAGTGCACATTAACTAAGCTTGGCAGTGTAGGAAATCAATAACTACACAACAGAATGGACAAGTGAAAAATAATCATTTCTATATCTTTTCGTTTTGTCATTTACACAGGGATCCTTCAAAATGTTTTAATGTGACTTTTGATGCACTTATCTCACTGCTGTGTCACCTTTACAAAGGTGAGATTTTCTTTTCCTTCTAAAAATAAAATAGCAGGAGGGGAGAAAACAAACAAACAAAGAACACACCTTTAAAGTAGGTGAACTTACAGATTACTAGTGCTGACTTTTCTAAATAACAACACTAATCATTTCCATGCCAATTAAACCTACATAGGTTTTAACTTTCAGCTTTTTTTTGTTCAGTCACTTTATTGTCAAGTAATCATCTGAAATCAGGAGACATTTATCTTTTTTTTTTTTTTCTGTAAATTTTAAGAAACGGTATATTTTGCCAAAGAACATTAACAGGAGCAAAAAGGCAAAATAAAGTTCTTAGAAAATCAGATCAGTTTTAGTAACTCACTTTACTTTCCTGCTAAAGACCAAAATCCATTCTTCAATGCTTTAAACTCACCCATATAACCATTTAAAAATAAAGGAGATATCTTGTCTTTTTGCCAATCTATATACGAGGGCTGCTTACAGAAATCCAGGAAAGAAAAGTTCTCATGACATCATTTTCTTCTCCAGCTTTGCTCAGTTTGACTACTTTTAGGAAGAGTCTAAACTTCCATTTATAATAGTACTAATAGAATAAACCATTTCTTCAGGCAACATCACCATTAACACTAGTCATGACCACTTCTCTGCAGACAGACAAAAGGATTTGACAAAACTAGTATAAAAGAAACATCTTCATAAATAATTTCATCTTAGAGTGCTTCAACTGTATTTTATTTAAACACATGCGCTCTTTTTAAGAGCATCATGACAAATTACAAACAAATTTTTTCCAGCTATATTCAAAATATGGTTCTCATATTTAATTTCATCTACAGGACTCAAATGCTCTCAAGTTGCTAATTTCACAATTCTTTCCCTACCATAAAGCAAAAAAAAATCTATTAGAGGTTCTAAAAAATCTATTAGAGGCCAGAATAGCAGTTCTTCTCACCCAAAGTCTGCCTATGACAACTTTMTATAACCCAAGAAGACACAAAGTTACAAGGATGTTAGGGATTATACCTATTTTTTTGGGGTATAGCATAAGACATTTATGAATAAACAGAACCACTCGATAAATGACAGACAGCTGCTGCATGTTGACTTATTCCCACAATTATTCCAAGATTAGATTTTTCTTACGCTGCTTTTAGTTGAACAATTTCGTCTTCTGCTGCCAACAGAGTGGTGGCTGATTTTGCCTTCGTGTCTTCAAGAGCCAACTGGGTTTCAGTCAGACTGCAAGAAAAATTAATAACCTTCATTGCAAAGGTACAGATGCCACTAGAGAATTAAATATGACAAGCTGACCTGTTTCAACAGACTAGTTCCTTGACRCTTTAATATGGAAACAATCACAGTGGGCTTTGTGCAGGCTATCAGCACACAAATAGTTTACAAAAGTCATATCTGACAAAACAGTGACAGAATTATTTTGCTGCAATTCATTATTCTTCATAAAGAAYAGTCTCAGTTCCAGCTTCTCCATGTGTTTCAATGATTTGTGACAGGCAGRCAGGCTTCACTGCCCATCAACTGAGTATCATCTTGGAACAGGAATTCTCTTTCTCCTACGCCTGCTCACTTGCCTGTCAATAACCGCACGACCACATCCCTAGACTCCATCATCTTGAAAGGATTAGGCCTGAAGCTTTCAAACTTGAAATACATCTTCCAGCTCTCTGCTGGACCATCCAATACTCATCTTTTCTCCAGCTCATCAAATAATATTTTTCAGGTCATACAGATGCAGAGAATTAAATGTCTAACTTTAAATCAACCTTCATATGCATCTGACTCTTCACTATAGTTAGCAAGTTAACTGAAAAAAAAAAAATCCTTTGCTATTAGAGCTTCCAGGATGAAATTAATTTTGCTAAATTACCTAGTTCTGGTAAATTATTTGAAACACAAAGAATAAATGTCTCTCCTACCAAATGCTCTCAACTGTCAGATCCTTCTCTGTCCCACCTGGCCACTTTCCATACTTAAGGTATATTATGGGGTTTTTTTTTGTCCTTTCATCTCCTTTCCAATGAAAGGCATCATTTTTATCGTGGAGTTGGCTGGGAGACTTCTTTGAGAGACAAAAATTAGAATGGCTGCCTTCATCCAGAAGGAGATATAACCTACACTAATATGAAAGCAGAAGACACTTAGGATACATAATTAACTATTCTTTCTATTTCCTCTATCCTACTAACTGCACTGATTTGTTTCTAAAGCTGATAAGTCATCCTGGGACTACAATGTTCCACAAAGAATGTCCTATACACCTCTGTGAAGACTGTTCAGGGCTAATCAGCTATGATCATCTTGTCACTGTGGGTGCTGTTCTCCTTAGATGCTAACATACCAGTTACATACCATAACTAATTATACTGCTGTTGCTCCTTCAGTAAAGGCTGGTCTAGAGCTACTCAATTGCTGCTCTGCCCAGCAGGCAAGCCCATCAACTGCAGTTCCCAAGGATGGTCAGGCCCTGTACAAAACCCTAAAACATGTTTTACAGCTTTTCTGCCAGAAGCAAAACCTCCAGGGTCAACTTGTGCACACAGGTGTGACTGTATCATTTGTATCTGGCTCAGGACASAGCTGGCCTTGGGTAGGCAGATAAGCAGCTTCAAATTTTAGACAATCCAGAGTTTAGACATATTCTGAAGCTTCAATTTTGTGCCATATGTATATACACACACATATTCTATATATAAAAATATACTGTATATAAATATATTTTGTACCTGTATATGTAATTATATATATATGAAAGAATTATATATATATTTATAAATATATATATATATAACAAAATACAAATGTATTTTGTACATATATATATAAATAAAAATTCTTTCCTAGCACTTAGATTGGAGGAAAAAATGCCTTGTGATTAAAAAGGAAAAAAAATATATCACAGCTAATTCTCCTACTCTTGTTGCACATGACTGAGCTGTAGACGAGTAGATGCCAATTCTTTCTGCAGCTCTTGCAGTTCCAAAGTCTGACTGTTTGCAAACTTTCTCAGCTGCCTCTCTTTCTCCATTGAATCCTACAATGAAACACAGACACACAAAAAAAATCACACTGCTTTAACGTTCTACCTCATGGAATCCTTCAACAATGCTGTATAGAATTTTATTTCTAAAGATTGCAGTAAAGTACATTTCTAAAATATCTYAAAACACAATTGCATACCTTCTAGAGACACTAAATAGCAAAGGAATTCAGTTGTATTAGATGTAGAAGCATTCACCTCRCTTACACTTCATGATAGAGAATATAGGAGGTCCGTCATATGTGCATTTACCATCTATGTACATATCAGCATGACAAAGTGTTCTTACAGATGGGTTACATGGCTGATCTTAAAGTCTTCTCACTGACTCTGCCCCCAATTCAAGTAAAGCTATTGAGAATTCATGCAAAATTACAAGAGTTAACGGACTAGCTCAAGGAGCTGTTATAATTCAAGGGGGCATGCCACGACACATGCAGCTCTGTCTAAAGCAAGCCAGAGGTTTGCCCCATACTGCCATAATTAAAGAGTAGCTATGCAGGGAGCCATCCTTTAAACTCTGCATGTCATGTGATATGGCAAATCCACGATTGATTCACTGATTGTCATTTAATAACACCTAATTTTCATTTTTTTGTCATAAAACTTAAAGCAAGCAACCTTACTCCTGTAGCACACAGAATCTAAACCCTATGGGATATCAATTTTCATTTATCTTTACTGTAATTGTGAACGATTTTAAGGTTTACAAGTGAGAAGTCAGAGAGCATCACTGCAAAGATCACACACTGMCACACACACAAAGAGGAAATAATAATACTAATAAAAAAATACTAACTCCAAACTTTATATCAGAAATATAGTGGTATCATGATTAGCATGAGCAGATTTGTTTTTCCTCCTGGACATTATTGTAATGCTGAGCAAATACTGTTCTTCAAAAAAGAAAAGAGGTTTACAGTTAAAAGCCTAGAGTTTCATATACACCTTCAGTTTATACTTGTATTTTCACAGAGTGCTGGATTTTTAATCAATAGAGGTATGGCAAAAACATTTCTAAGATATCATTGTCAACCAAAGACCATAAACCAGTATAATTCTTTAGGCAGGTAAGGAACACTGTTCAAGAACATAGCTTCTCTTACGAAGYAAATTTCTCCATACTGTCATCCATTTCTGCACAACAGCAGAAACTCAAAAGTCAAATGCAACTTCAGTATCTCTTTTATTTCTCTTTAAAAGGGAATGGACACTGAAAGGGAGAAATAGCTTAGCTGTCTCCATGAGCAACCAGGAACATAATCCATTAGGCAAAGTCAGGAAGGGAAGTTACTAACAGAAGGTGATAAGCCTCTCCTGTAGGTATAAATCTCTACCATATTATTCTTTTAAAATAAAATTCCCTACATACCTGAGTGAGAGAGAAATTAGTTTCATAGGATCTTCCTGAAGCAGCACTGGAAAAGCAAGTGCCCAACCATGGCAGGAGACGAGATTTTATTGTTTCCACACCTGCATAATGCCCTCCTACAAAAACACGTATGTTAAGGATTTTGAGAACACCTAAAGCAGGAGCCAGTATTTAAAAATAAAACAGGTGCGAAATGTGACATTAATAAGAAAGCAGTGATTTACCTTCTTGAGCTGTTTCGCTGAGGATTGTGAAGAGCTGCCCTTGAATCATGGAGTTCATTTCTATTATTTCACAGCATCGGTTTAGATTCTGATCACAGGAATTAATCTGTAAATTTGAAGCATTAAAACATCTGCCTGGTATTTTTAATTACAATGACTGTTATGATCATAACATAAAAAGCTTTCTTCTAATCACCTCTTCAAACTTCTTCTTACTGCCTCCTTTACCATGGCTAGAATATTTATCTTCAAAAGGTTCATGTTAACAAAGAGAGTAGACAACAGAACCACATCACCTCCTTAAGTCATGGAAAACAAGACTTACTTCTTTCCCTGCTCGTAAAGAAGCTATTATCCCAAGCAGCATGTCTTTAAAGATATCTTTAACATCATTTTTTTTTAAATAATAATGACTTTGTTGGGTGAAATCATAAATTAGGGTACAAAACAGCATTTTACATATTAGCTGAAATTTAAGGTTATTATCTTGCTTTGTCCTTAGCTCATAAAGCCTCCATGCAGTTTCACCTTATTTTTAAGGGTCACCATGTGAAACAAATACTATTGAAGACTAGACAAGACACTGCATTATGCCTACAAAACAACAGAACAGCAAAATTGCATAATTTTCAGCAAATACAACTCTGAAAAGGAATGAATGGAATTAAAATCTGTCCAGGATGCTACTGCATCTGCCAAGAAAACACATAGTTTGTACCTACTCCTCCAATCTTTATCCATTATGTGCRTATCATCTTCAATAGAGATCTCCATCTGGGACTTCAGGCCTTAATGACTCCATGTGAATTTTACAAGCTATCAAAACAACTAAAAATATCTGATCCGTGCCCCATGCTACAGCAATATGTTTTTCTCTGGCCTCCAGGTGCACAGGCTCACCCTGCTGATGTCCACCAGAAGGAGCATTTTTCCAGCACATTACACTGATATACAGCCCCATGGAGCTCCCTTCTGTCAGGTCCTCCTTTCTACAGCAGCAGATTGAAGCTGATCATTTCCAAAGAACTCAATGACTGTCCTTACTCCGTGTTATGGGGAGTTCAGCTGTCATTCTTGATCGACCTCCAGCGTCCACCTTCACCATCCCTCTGCAAAATGTTCAGATTTGCTCTTTCTCCTCTGTTGTCCTCTTGAAAAAGCTGCATGTCTTTTCACATCTACTAAAGCACGTGGTAGACAGCTACAGCCTCATGATCAAAACAACTATGGGTGACCTCAAGTGATACGCACCTAAACTGCCAGGGTGGCAACTACAAGCTGGGGACAGGGGTGRGTAGCACCCTGTGGAGCCAGTTTCTACTTAAAACTTCAAATAAGATTCTCAAGTGCCATCATTTCCTTATCTTCCCATTAATACTACCCTTTCTCTGCACTTCTCCTGTTCCATCTCCCCAAGCCGTTACCTTTTCCTCCAAACAGGGCCACRGAGCGCAATCACCTTGCAATCCTCCATGCACCCTGTTACATCCACCTTTTCCTTTTCCACACCTGAATTTCTTTGCTTGGAACTACTTTCCTCCTCCTGAAGGTTTTCTGCAACTGTGCTCCCCTGCAGTAGTTTTTCTTGCCTATAGCACATTTCTTTCAGAGAAGGATTTGGAAAATGTGTGGGAAAATGACCAAAACTGAGCTTTTGAACTCCCAAGCAGAAGTCTACTACAACCAGTAGCTAGCAAGCAAGAGCTAGTTGTAAATTTTGTTAACACCTGGACTAGCCAAAAATGGCATGTCCTGAGTCCCATGATTTACAAAGAGACACGAGACAAGGCAATGAGTAAGGCTGATCACACCTTGTTGTCTGCACGCAGGCTGTTGGAGGGGCAGAACCTGCCCGYGGACTGCTGTGTACACTGTCTCCTTGCAACCAGCCTGCATGGGCACAGGGACACCTACCTGCACCCCGGCTTGGGTTCAGCGGCTGTTTGCCTTTCCCTAACTCTCCTGTTTAGTCCTACTATTTTCTTCACAGCTACTAAATGCCCTTCTAAGTCATGTTAAATGTAATTGCTTCTGCAAATTGATAGAAATCATTTTTCCGAAGCTAGAAATTATTAATGCAGCGGCAGCGGAGGGAGGGAAGGAGAGTCCCTCCTTGCTCCGAGCTGTCCAGCACAGCGTGGCCGCCCTGTGCCCCATTTCCACAGCCCTACACGGGGCAGGACGGTGCTCCCGCATGCTGCCATTTACAGCTTTATCCCTCGTGGGCAGGTTCTACATCTCCCATGGTTTTATCCCTTCCCCTATAGTGGCAAGTGGACCGAGACGCTTGGGATGGCCCAGTGGCCCCCCTCCAGCCTGCCTTTAACGGCCCGCGCTGGGGGAAGGCACCCTGTGTGTGTGTGTATTAACATTCTTGCTCTATGTACATTTCTATATATGCGAAACATTGTAAGAATAATAACAATAATAATTTTTTGAAATTCAACGCTGAGGCGGCCGTTTCGGGTCCCCCCGCCCGCCCGGTGGCGGCCGGCAGGTGACCGCGGCCGTTGGCGGCCGTTGGCGGCCGTTGCTCCGGCGGTCGCCGCGGCAACCCGGGC